TATATATATATATATATATATATATATATATAATTAATTTATCTGTGACCAAATCATTCAGACAGGTTTTTGGAATTGGATTAACTGATTCATTTATAAAATCCAACTCAAAATAATGATTATTTCACAAGATCTTTAAAAAGATTCATTAAAAGATTAATTCAACTTAAAGAAAAGAGAGAAAAAAGTAATTAGGAATTATTATTATTATTATTATTATTAAAATAAGCAAAGCAGCATTAAAAAAAAAAATTACTTCTGTTGGTGAAATCAGGTTATGGGGTGTGACATTTCCACATCCTTTTTTCTTTTTCATAAAATCTTTTTCAATTTTTTTAAAAAATATATATGTACACTCTTGTATTCAAGGTATAAGGAAAACCTTAGCAGTTTTTAATTGAAAAAAAAAATGTCATGTGGTATATAACCTTCATGTGATCACTGAAATTGTGATTTTTCAAAACTATACTGAACCAACATTAATACAAAAGGTTGTATATTTCTAAGAACCTTAAACAAAAATTTTTATTTTCATTATCTTGGACACTCATTGACCAGTGTGAGTAAATAACATGATGAAGAAAGAACATTTTTGAGTGAACTTTAAACACAAAGCAGGTCAGAAAACCTGGTATTTTGGGGTCATATTTACTGCTGTTTGCAGTTCACCTTCACATCAAAAGAGTTTTAGTTTTTGCCCCAACAACATTGATAAGCATATTTAGCACGTCAGTGCGAATAACATTTACTTAGCTGGGTAAAGAAACACACTGAGCTGAATGTGTCTGCATAGCAGTTGATAAAACGCCAGAGTCGGTGGAAGTTTTAGTACTGGAGTGTTTGTATAGGAAAAAACAGCGATTCCGCAAAGCCTGTTACAGATCAGCTCTTTCATGCATTGCTTTGCAATCTGACACTTTCACTTTCAGAAAAGACTCGCAGAGCTTGTTAGAGCTGGATGATGCAAAGGACAGCAAACACGCACACAATCTGACACAAGTAAACAGACCTCCGTCCTGCTGTGCAGGTGTAGCTCCTTCGCTCATGGTAAAAAGGGCAAAGCAACAGAGAAAATAACAGTCCTCCGGGAAGAATAGGAATGTGCGTGTGGGCTTGTATTTGTTTGTCGTCCTCTTCCCTCTCTTTAGTGCAAAGGTTTCTAGCTCCACCTTTCCAAACGAGATCCTTCAGGTCACAGGTAAAAGGTAAAAGTCCTCTGCACTACAACTACAGAATAAGGGGTCAAGGTTTGGCTGACATGATCAAGTTAACTACTGCTAATATATACACCGTAACTACACTGTTCTGTGAGCAAAAAATGCATTAAATTAACAAATAAATCAAATTAAATTTTTTAAAAATTATTTAAAATAAAATGAATAAAACAAAATAATAATACAAATGTAAAATTTTATATAGGAATTAATTGCTTTAGGAAAAAAATTTGTACATGCCACACACAGCAACTGACAGCAACATGGACTCTTAAAGGGAATGCTCTTTTAAAGGGTTAAATCTTTGCAATTATTTATCACTAACCCTTTTAAACGGATAGTTCACCCAAAAAATTTATAAATTCTCAACTGTTTGCTTAACAATGTTCAAAATATCTTCTTTTATGTTGAACATTACAGGTTTGAAACAAGTGAGGGGTGGGTAAATGATTGAAAATGAAAAAAAATTTCCAAAAAAAATAATATCAGTGGATGAATAATCTAACATAGGGCATGGCCAATATACTGCCAAAAAACACTGATATTGGTCAATAACCACAATGCCATTGATATACTGATGACAATGTTTGACTTATTTTAAATAAATAAAATATACATAATATTTCACATTTTATGCCAAGTCACCTTTATTCATATAGTGCTTTTAACAAGATTGTGTCAAAGCAGCTTTACAGTATTCAATAGGAAAAATAGTGTGTAATAATGCAAAACATTAAACACGCAATTTTCTGTTAAAAAACATTATGTACTTTATTACAACAAAGACAACAATGTGTTTTATTTAGTTGGATATTATGCTCTCTGCTTTATTTTATATGTTAACTGATCATGGCCAAGTCATAGATTTTTATTTGTTAATGTAAGGGTTTTACAATTGTTACATTTGTAATATAGTATTTTTTCCTCTGTGTTTTTTGATAATCAGACAGCAGCAGAATTACAAATGACCATTCTGTCTTAACATTTAGATCACTATTCAAATCACATTTTCCTCATGTAGTCTTTCATGGAAACTGCAGCACTATTATTTGTACAAGCTATGCCAGAGAAACACAATGAAAAGATCAAATTGGGCCTAAGCACCTGGATGTAGCATAATGGAGGAACACACTGATCTGCTCTGCTCAACCTGACCATAAACAAACCTCATTAATCTAGACAGAGCCAGGAGACTCCTGTCCTTCCATTAGCTGAGGACCCTCGCGTTCCATCTGAGCATCAGGAAACTGATCTACACAGCATTCGATTAGTCAGATGGTTTTTATACATCTTATCTCTGACATACAGCAAGGCTGTCAGATGAACACACAAACATGGGATGGTTTAGTGCTTCTTGTTTCGACATCATGTGTCACTCTTGTATTAGCTCTCAGTTCACATCCACCTCGACTAGATCGCGTTTTCATTCCATGAACTGACTAACTCACATAATCAGCAAGTGCTTGCTGGAAGTAATTACGGCGCGCGCAAGCCGTCGCTGCTCTATAATCAGCGTCAAAGTGGGTCTCTGTGTATGAATGAGTGTGTATGTGGTTGGTGACAGGTTCAAAACAGAAATGTCTGATCTTTCGATCGGAGTAACTCTTGAATTTTATATTCATTGGGTTTTGGAAATAAGAGTTT